TCGAATGAATGCGAATTATTGTCACTGTGATCCTAATGTCCAGCATCTGGCTCTCTGACTCTGTTTGTTTTTTTAAAGCAGGGGTGAGGTGGGCAATCTGAGCATTTGTGCTTCAAGCTACACAGCTGCCCCAGTTACTGAGACTCTCTTCCCTCCTAATTTTCCATCCATACCCATCTGCCTCTTCTTTACTCCAAAATATCTGTCCCGTTCAGCCTTGGATGACACTAGTGACGACTTGTACTTTCTGGAATCTCCTGTGCTCGAAACATTCCTTAGAGTCTGTTAATTTTAGATCTTGTTTTAACTTAGACAGTGTAGGGTCCATAAAAACAACACAGCACAGTAAACTTGTCAGACGGCAAAGAATTTTTAGCATCTCTGAATCCCTCCAGCCCTCCATGCCTGTGCTGATCCTGGCCTGAGCTGTGGACTCAGAGGGGTTAACAAGGCTGTTTGATGGGCCATGGGCACTGAGCATCAGGGGTTTTGTGGGTAGATGGGTGGTTTCAGCTGTCTGTGTCCCACAGTGAATCCCTGAGCAACTTGTGATGAGCTAAAAATTCCCACTGTGTCTCATACCCATATGAATTCAGTTCCACAAGCAGAAAAGGCACCGCTTGCATTCTACTTGTCTTCGTGTGATGCTTACACAAAGATACAAAACTAGAATACATACATATATTACATAGAAAGACATAAATTAATGCAAAGGCACGTGGGAGAGTGTGCAGCAAGGGGGACTTAAGTGCCTCCTACTGAAAAGCAGAAGAAACAGGGGAAGGAGGAAATTTAAGAGCTGCAAGTGGATGGGTACATGCCTATTTATGGATGGCTCCAATGAGCCGAGAAGAAATGTCGTAAGACCCACTTCCCACCTCAGACTGCTGCAGCAATAACTCCCCAAGAAAAAGCAAAAGCAAGCCTACACAAGGGAGTGTGCACGCACAAGTACACATTCTCAGTGATGCGGGTGAACTGCAGGCTGGGCAGCCTCCCTGCAGGGCCAAACAGAGAGGGGGCAGCATACTCTTCTAGGGGGAGCCCTGGTCCGAATGTCTGACTGGTCACAACAAAAGTAACAGGAACAGGGTACACTCAGAGCTATCCCTCAACCCCAGTGCATGTTCTAACATCCTCCAACCCCACCCGAGATAGATGTAGCAAAGACATGTGATCCATCTCCGCTCCCTACACAAATCAAATCTGATGGCACATGGCTATCGGCTCAAGCTCCTATTGCGCCTGTCTGACTGAATTCCTATTCCAAACTTCTTCTTCTATCCTGTCCTTAGATATTCAAGCGAGTAAAGATGGGAAGACAAACAACAAGACATTTAGACAGGCAGACAGCAGGGCAGGCCTTCCAGGGCCCTTTTCTTCTTCTGCTGGCGGAGAATGCTATCAGCCTGGATCAGGCTAGCCTACTCAAGCTGAGCTTCAGCAACCTCACGGGCCAGCCCGCTTTTCACCATGGAAACCTGCCCTATACTCGCCTTGTGATTGGCTCATGCAATCACTAGACAGTCACTCTGTCTTACAATACGGATAATAATGGCCCTCCAGCAGGATGACAGCAGGAGAAGAGTGATGCAGAAAGGTCTTTTTCCTACCGATTTTGCCCTTTAGAAATGCTGCATTCTGCAGGTGCACAAAAAGTACAATACCTGAATGCTGCTCAGCTCGTTTCTTCTACAGATCCTAGCCAAACCCACAAAACACAGTCCCAACAAACTCATTAACATCTTAATATGTTAGTGATTATTTTCTCATCTCCATAAGGACGTTTTCAAATCCTAGAGGGCAAAAGAGAGATAAAACAAACCCCAAACAACCCCTCTAATATGAAAAATGCCAGCCAAATGCCAGCACTGGTCATACAGCAATTGCTCACTGAACCGCATTCATGAACCAGCTATTCTTTATCTCTTCTATCTTTACAGACCGAGCTCCTGATAATACGGCTCAAAAATGGGTATGTGTCCATGTTTCCATACATAATCATTTCCGCCTTTTTCTTCCCAAAAGCAGGGACAACAAAAGCAAAAGCGTCTTTTCAATGGCCTCTGCTCTATTTACAGTACATTGTCTGGAATTCGAATACCCAGCACAGAGATTAACAATACCAACAAATCAATGCTTGCGGATGAGCCTCTTTTGGTAACATTGTTACTGCATCTCCCTACAAGCACTGCCATGTCTTGCATAGCCTCTTCACTTCAGTTGTTCTTTGTGTTTATAGCATGAAGCCCCAAAACTGGGAGCATGTCTTCAAAATGTGCTATTTGTTTCCTCCACAGCACAATTCAGCCTTCTCATCCGTCTGACGTTTTTAGAGAGGGGAAAAAGAAAAAAAAAAAGGATATATCTGGGACAACAGGGGGAGAAAGGGGATGTATACACAGCACCCCGAAGCCAACATCAAGCATTATACACACACAAACTGTACACTAAGCCAAAACACTGTGATGCTTGAAATTAGAATGGCTTTTCATGCAAACAGAGGCGCTTGCTGTGCAGGTGACAGGCTGGTGCTGCAGAAAGAATTGAAATGAAAAACAAATCCTATTTTAAATAAAAACACCACTTGGCAGGGACTCGCTGCGCTAAGCCAAACAGAGGAACGGTACTCGCCACGTGACAAACGTGCACACGTTAAATACACCTATTAAATGAGTCGCCGCCCATTTTTGCTCATCGCCCCGCATCCAACCTCTTTGCCAGAGCAACAGTAATATGTTTAATGAAGTCATTAGTCAAAAAAAATGAAGACAGACAGCGGCATGAGGCACTGAAGGTGGAAGCGCAAAGGGCAGAGACAGAGGCAGGGAAACAAAAGGGGAATGGGGGGGGGAATGGATCAGCTGAAGTGTACTTCTCTGGAAAGCACATTCTCCTGCATTATAGATGCAGTATCATGCGTGCCAGCAGCTACATAGCTGCAAATGTAATATGTGTCTATTCTAATAAACCCAACAAACAGAAGGAACACAATCAGGGGTGGCATTTTACAAAAAAAAAAGTTCAAACATGCCAAGTAAATTTTCAGGGTAACTGCATGTGAGCGTTATCACTACTGCTTGATCTAAGCGCTTCACCCAAATAAGACACCCGCGAATGAACTACTCTAATGAAATTATTAATACTTGGCTGGTATAAATGGGTCCACCCATGGCTATGCCCATTCATTCCTCAAATGGCAAAGCCCAGATCAAAGCAAATTGTTGCCAAAGCGTGAGTCACAGTTGCTTTTATGTAAAATAATTGCCCCCTGACAGTTTTAAGCAACTCAAATATAACCACGCGTCTATCTGAAGCAGCACAGTGGCTGCCACTGGAATCCAAGACCGAGCTCCCCTGCCGTGGCATAGACTGCTGTCCCAGCAATATATACAGCTGTTTACTTATTCATGAATGGATTAGGGCTACTAACTCAATCAATCTGCTTCCAGTTACCAAGGCTGACTTTATTAGATAACATTAATGATGAATTAGTTGTCCATAGGTGTTGCATTTCTCCCTTGTCAGCAAATATAATTCAAATGGGAGCACAAGGGATATGGGCAGCAAATGGATCAACACTCTGGGGATGATTGTGGCACTATACAACATTACAGACTAATAAATTATAGTCGGGCCATATGCCATTGAAGAAAGAAAAATCACTTGTGTGCTTCATGGAGATGAGATATGTCTTGTAATATCTGCTCCAGACATTAAGTGATATGAAATAATAAAGTCAAGCAAAAAAAAAAAAGAAAAAAGAAAGAGAGCCATCCTTTACAAATCGATTTTTATGAAAAAGAAATAAGATACCGCACTTATAATCTGTCTTATGGAACACAATTAAACAAGAGCCTTTCACTATGCTTCTTTCTGACATGCTTTGATTTTAGCTAGAGCTCTGACATCATCGCAGTATTACAGCCATTCATATACCAAGAGCTTTTGCTGCCTAAGTTGTACATTTATCACGAGCTATTTGGTGGTCCTCACATCACTATGAAGGAATACATCTTCTAATGGGTGCTCCTGCTGGGAGCTGAACCTCAGGCCTTACCAGCCCTGACGGTCCAGATTCTTATCAGTGGAACTACACCACACACAAAACACATACTTCCTCCGTGCGTGTGGGCGATGCCGTGCACAGCATCGCCAGCTTTATCGGAACGTGCACGCGTGCGAGTGGAGATGGGGAGCAGAGCTCACCCCCTCTGACCTACCTGACGCGATGCAGCATGAACTTAACTGAGCAGTTTTTATTTCTCAAAAACCCCATATCAGAGGCCTCAGCAAACACTACCCATACCTCCAGATATCGAAAACAAACGCACGCCTGGCTCTGGTGATACAAAGCGATTCCAGATACTAGCAGTTGTGCACTGAGGCTTACACACAGGCAGTTGCTTTGTCTGCCCGCCACGCATAAATACAACACAGCAAAGGAAGGGAGGCAGACACTTGTCAAACACACACGCCGGTGTCATGTGTCTTTATTAACACGTTGTGTGCGCGAGACTGGAGGTCAAAAGCATTGCATCCTTATTTAACGACACATAGAAAAGCGGCTAGCATATAGGCTACACATTTCTAGCACTGTTGATGTCAAAAATTAACCCGCTGCACGTTCATTCAGGTGATTATTGGGTCTTAAAAGGCGCTTTCACACTAACCACCCGGGTCCTGACGCGGTCACACTGTAAACCAATTTGTTCCGAGCACTTGCTCTTCTCAACGCGAACGAGCGGTAAAAAAAAACACAAAAAAATAAACCGGGGGGGGGCAGTTTGTGGGTATGTAAAGCAGCCAGGTGTCAACGAGAGAGACCCCCTGATGGAGAGTAAAAAGCGCGGATGTAACGGGACCTGAAATCGCTTCCTACCGTGACCGCTGTTTGATCTAACCAGCGACGCAGTCAACAGGCCGGGATGTAACGGGCTGAGCACTGCCTCTGCTGCTTCAACATTTCCGCCATGCGAGCAGCGTGATCCGCTACCTACCTTGACTTGATACGCCGGCTTCCAGAGGCACCCGACCCGAGCTGCGGAGGCTGGGTCCTGAAGCAGCAGACAGCCGAGACGTGTTGCTCCACAAAACTGAGTAGGACGGCTGCGGCGGAAACAGGAACTGAGGGGAGCTGGGGTCTGTGAATCCGGCAGTCGAGGCTGCTCTGTGGGGATCTGCTGAATGGCCGGTGTCAACAGAGATCGGAGAATGGGGAGGGGATGAGACTCCACATCCGGTGAGATAATTTCAAAGTAAAGAATGCGCGCGCTTCAGGTGCAGTAGCTTAAAGTGGAGCTGGAGTTATATATACTTTAGGGTTGGAACTAAATATATTATTTATTCTTATTATGTATTTTTACTTAAAAATACAACAAATACATCATAAAACAAACATGTAAACAGATGCAAATTCATTGCACATTTCCAAACACCACAGTGTGTTCAACTGTGTTGTTTTAACCTGTGTTCAGTGTATTGTCTGGCCTGGCAAATAAAACAAAAGAAAAGTTATTTATTATTTCTGTTTTGGAAAGGACTAAGACATCTCAAATACCCCTACGGTTGCTGATTTTCTCAGGTTAGTTAATCCGAGTTATTTCGTTTTATTGTGAAACAGAAGAACCTTGTCTTGATGTCTTGACGCATGCTCAACCATCCAGGTAAGTAAATGATCTAAGACAGAAGAAGTCACCTGGATGAGTGACGAAACGTTTCTCCCATTGAAAACGCTACGTCCAGATGAACAGAATCAACCTGCTGGGTACAGAAGAACCTCATTTTGTCTTGTTTCTTCCTTATTTTGAATTGTGTTTCCTCTTTTTATAGTATATCCGGCGGTGATACAGAAGCACTTTACTGCTCTGTGCCAGTGCGAAGTTCATTTGCAAACCATATTGTTTCATTTATTTTGAAGGCGCGTAGGTCTAATTTCCTGATTGCGCGTCGTTCTCAGTGATGCAGACTCTGATGGGAATCGTTGACTTGAAAGCGGCAGTGCGCACACCCGCGTTGGATTGGTGAATTGCATGGGAGCTCACAGACTGACAGACCCGGTGTCACCGGCCAATGGAGGGCACGACTCCCCCGTAAGCGTGGTACTCGACCTTGTGACTGGTACAGTGCAGAATAGAGACACTGTGCACCGTATTAGGTCATCAGCTCTCACTCGCCATCACTTATCTGTTACAGCCTCTTGCATTACTCTTGGCATATTCTCTGCCCTCATAATAACCGTATGTCTAAACTGAGCGATAAGACAAATAGCTTTAATATCCAACATTTCTGTCTTGCTTTACACAGTAAATGCAGTTGGGAGTATGTGTAGACAGAAGAAGGAAACTACCCCACATTTTTCCACCAGGTAAAGGGATGACAGGAATTCACATTAGAGTGAGTCATGTTTTTACGGTAGTTCGCTGACGCAGATTTTCCAAATTGTGTTATTAATATTTTACATCCATCTACCAAAATGAAAACTCGAAGAACTGCACAATACACAGGCAAGGACTTGCCTCTAAAGTATTTTACAGTCTGGGTAATGCTTTAAAAAAACATTTACGAAGTTTTAGCCACAACGTGTGTGTGTGTGTGTGTGTGTTGACCTTAAATACAAAAGATTGTGAGATATTAATAAACCCAAAGACGTTTTTATAAAGTGGTTAGGACTGTCACCTCATAGCAAAAGAGACCTGAGTTTGAAACCACTGACCTGTGCCCACATGTGCTCTCTCTGGGTACCTGAGCTTCCTCCCACAGTCCAGAGATAAGACTGTTAGGATAATAGTTGATTCTAAATTGGTTATTTCTCTGTGTTAGAGCCCCATGATGGAGTGGTGACTTGTATAGGTTGTACCCTGTCTCTTATTCCGCAACAGCTAAAATATTCCCACCTTGACTCTGGTTAGGAAACTGGATGTATGTCATTTGCTACGTGCCTATAACCTAAATTTCATAAATAAAACGCTTCTTAAGGTTAGATGGCCACTGAGCTGTCAGAACATCTGTTGTTTTTGGGGGCCTACAACAGTACAACATAAAGGTGTAGCAAAGTGTCATGCACAGGATTTTTATGTAATGCAGCTCTGTGATGTTGTTGCAAAGCTCATTCATTTTACATTCGGTAACAGCATTCTTGAGTGGACTCTGCTTCTGCACAAGTCATCAGTCACCCGGCTGTAAACCACTCCTGCGAAGGTTGTGCATGATCACCCTCAGCTGTCCGTGCCAAGAACTATTTATTTATTAATTCACAGTCATGGTCACAGTATATTCATTTTTAATTGCAGCTTGCTAACGTTATGCACAGAGGATCATCAACTTGGAGCTGATGCAACAAAAAAACATACTGTCTGTCATAAATGTAAGTACGCCTTTGCTGTATCTCTCTAAATTAACCTCGCTTGGCTTGAAATAGTGCCAAGCAATAGCTGAAAAAAAAAAGAAAAAGGAAGTGTATGGATGCCCCTTAAAGACGTATTCCATCTGTGCTATTCTCTATGAACTACTACACAGATGTTTTTCTACCCACTGGTTTCAGCTTCACTTGAGAAATAAGCCAGGAAATCAAATTCTTAATGCCCAGAGGCTTTTTATTTTGTTGCTGCTTTTCCATCCATCTTTGAAAAATACCTGTCGTGCCTCTGAGAGGTCTCTCTCCTGTGGCAGGAGCAAGCCCAGTCTTGCCCGTAAACCGTCACGTAGTGGCAGTCGAACGGGTTAAAGCACAAATACAACCACCACCTACAAATTTGCTTGAGTGGTCTGAGTCATAAAGCTGATGCCACAGCGCCATCATGTGGTGCAAACGCAACTTTTTAGTATTGTAGAGAAATGAGCAGATAAAGCAGGCATTTTCTTGCTACTGTAGGCAGTATTTTAATTAGAAAGGTGTGACTAAGAAGATGTTTCATTTTTGCTTCATCATCCAGGCTCAAAACTGGCACACAAACACACACATACACATGCACACTATATTTTTATGACTTCATAGGCTTCGGAATGACGACCAACCTAACCATAACTACATGACTAATCCTAATCATTATCCACCCCAACTGAAGTTTACTATCACCCTTAACAAAATCTTCATACCTATACTGATGGATTCATTTCAATGAAGGCTTTTATTTATATATTTATTTGTTGTTATTGAAAAAGAGGAGAATGGTCACCACAATGATAACATTTGAATGCCCCATAACATACTATGAGTATATCAAAAACACGCACACACTCACCCTACCTCCAGCAACAGAGGGCTGTTGATGCCATATTCAGCACCGTTCTACAGGCCAAAGGCAGGTCGATCCCTCCTGACCTTTTTTTCTTCTTTCTTTCGGTGTGTGCTGACCTTTTCAGATTGAGATACAGAGTTCCTATAGTAAAACACATGAGCTCTGATCACCTAAAGGTAAAACCTGAGTTTGAAGGCAGCAGTGGGAAATAAAGCACAAGTGCTGCCTTATGTTTACAACACATGAAATTAAAAGTTATTGGATTAAAAAAAAAATCTTTATGCAGGCTTGGCACGCATCATTCTTCAGGCCATGAAATCCATCTGATACTACAAAACAGAAACAAAATGGAGCAGACTAATTAAAAGCTCATTAGAGTATCATTAGAATATCATTATCATATGAATTTGTAACACTTTGGAAGAGAAGCACTGCCGTGACACTTTCCAAAATGTATTCGGTGCAACAAAACATTTTTATGAATGGGTGACATTTACAACATTTTAATGATGACATATTGGATATTTAATGGGTGTCCTGGTGGTGAACAGTCAAAGAGCTCATATTCATGACATGTAATAGAAAACACCTGCTTCACTTCTGTCTGGAGAGCTTTGTTTTTGATGAGGGCATTGGGGATGGTAACACCCTCTTTCCCCCAAGTGACATGATTAATGAAACAAGATATTGTGAGTGTAAACATCTACACAGTGCAATTCACGTGCAGAGAGTTGGGAATTGTTCCAATGCAGAACACTTGGAGTAATAGCATCAGATATAATATATTAGAAAATATATTATGACTTCCATTCCTTGGATTTAGAAAATGATCCCACCTGGGTTTATATCACATGGGAAACTTGGAAATAAAAGTTGTTTTTAATGTTATTAATTTCAATAGTGTTCCTAAAGGCACTGGTAAAGAGGCACAGGATAATTTGAAACCCTGCCCTATAGAGTTACAGAGTTACATTACAACTAATAGACACTTGTAGTGCCTATAGATGATGACACTTCTCTATGTTACCGGCATCGCTAAACAATTGCAAAAGTGAGAGACTTCCCTTGTTTGGCTTTACTTAAAATAGCAACTAAGCTACTGAGTAACCTGCTGGTAAGTGAGCACTTACCAAATGTAAACATAGTAGGAAATGTTTAAGCTGACTGAGGCCTCTAAGGATCTACCACTGTACTGTATTTAAAACAAGAAGAATTTATTGTATAACAAAGGGTTGAGTTGCAGGAAATTACAAGTCAAAAGTTTTAATAATTGTAAATGGAGTGAAGTGAAAACTGATAAAACTCCTCCAGCATCAAACGTTGGCAGAGAATACATTTTCATCTCTAACAAAAGCGTTATTATGACTTGTTTAACTGTGTGGAGTGTCTAGCCTGCTTTTAATGACGTCAACTTCATAGGAAGGTTTGCTGAAGATTGAGCTTAGGTGTCACGGAAATATCTGTGATATGTGTATTTATATTTAAAAATGGGGTAATCAGAGTACAACAGCAACACATTTGAAATTTGAAAGAAGAAAAAGCACCTGTCCCAACTTAAAACAGAAGAAAATGAAAAAACAGACATCAGCATTTAAAAAAAACTAATAAAGATGTTGGGAATGGTGATCCTGGGCACACATAAAGAGTACAGATATGGATCTGGAGCTGATATTGATGATAGCTGTAATGCTGATTCTGTTAGAGACAGCAGTTCTTAAGATTCAAATTGCTTGCTCATTAAGATTGCATAACTTTTGCTACCCTGAGTATTTTTATATGTTGGGACATTCAGCCGAAGGACATAATTAATTAATACTGAAATACTTACTCAGTGCCCTGGAATAGTAAAGGATGGTAGTTGGGGGCAAGGGCCCAAAACTCCAGTGTTAAGGTTAAAGGGAGAACCCCTTATATATTTCATGGGTGAATGATGGTTTAATGAGCATAATAACATTTGTTTTTCATAGGTGGGGAA